CACACAGAGAATCATAGACTCACATAAAGACCCATATACTCATACAGAGACCCATAGACTCACACAGCGACCCATAGACCCACACAGCAACACATAGACACACACAGATACCCATAGACTCACACAGAGACTCATAGACTCACACAGAGACCTATACACTCACACAGAGACCCATAGACTAACACAGAAACCCATAGACTAACATGCACAGAGACTCATAGACTCACACAGACACCCATCGACTCACACAGAGACTCATAGACTTACACAGAGACCCATAGACTCACACAGATACACATAGACTCACACAGAAACCCATAGACTCACATGCACAGAGACTCATAGACTCACACAGAGACCCATAGACTCACACAGCGACACATAGACACACACAGATACCCATAGACTCACACAGAGACCCATAGACCCACACAAAGACACAGACACACACGGAGACCCATAGACTCACACACACAGAGAATCTTAGACTCACACAGAGACACATAGACTCACACAGAGACCCATAGACTTATCACACAGAGACCCATAGACTCACACAGAGACTCATAGACTCACACAGAGACCCATAGACTCACACAGAGACCCATAGACTAACACAGAAACCCATAGACTAACATGCACAGAGACTCATAGACTCACACAGACACCCATCGACTCACACAGAGACTCATAGACTTACACAGCGACCCATAGACTCACACACAGAGACTCATAGACTCAGAGACCCATAGACTCACACAGCGACACATAGACACACACAAATACCCATAGCCTCACACAGAGACCTAAAGATTCACATACACATACACTCACACAAAGACAAATAGACTCAAACACACACAGACCCATAGACTCACATAGATACCCATATTCTCATACAGAGACCTATAGACTCACACATAGTTGCATAGACTCACACAAAGACCCACCATTCACTCGCAGAGACTCATAGATTCACAAAGAGAATCATAGACTCACATAAAGACCCATATACTCATACAGAGACCCATAGACTCACACAGAGACCCATAGACTCACACAGTGACACATAGACACACACAGATACCCATAGACTCACACAGAGACCCATAGACTCACACAAAGACACATAGACACACACGGAGACCCATAGACTCACACACACAGAGACTCTTAGACTCACACAGAGACAAATAGACTCACACAGAGACCCATAGACTCATCACACAGAGACCCATAGACTCACACAGAGACTCATAGACTCGCACAGAGACCCATACACTCACACAGAGACCCATAGACTAACACAGAAACCCATAGACTCACATGCACAGAGACTCATAGACTCACACAGACACCCATAGACTCACACAGAGACTTTTAGACTCACACAGAGAACCATAGACTCACATAGAGACGCATAGACTTCCACAGAAACCCATACACTCACACAGACTCATAGACTCACACAGAGACCCATAGACTCACACACAGAGACTCATGGACTCAGAGACCCATAGACTCACACAGCGACACATCGACACACACAGATACCCATAGCCTCACGCAGAGACCTAAAGATTCACATACACTCACACAAAGACAAATACACTCAAACACACACACAGACCCATAGACTCATACATAGACCCATAGACTCACACAGAGACCCATAGACTCGTACAGAGACCCGGAGACTCACACAGAGACTCATAGACTTACACAGAGACCCATAGACTCACACACATAGACTCAGACTCAGAGACCCATAGACTCGCACAGCGACACATAGACACACTCAGATACCCATAGCCTCACACAGAGACCTAAAGATTCACATACACATACACTCACACAAAGATAAATAGACTCAAACACACACAGACCCATAGACTCACATAGATACCCATATTCTCATACAGAGACCCATAGACTCACACATAGTTGCATAGACTCACACAAAAGACCCACCATACACTCGCAGAGACTCATAGATTCACAAAGAGAATCATAGACTCACATAAAGACCCATATACTCATACAGAGACCCATAGACTCACACAGAGACCCATAGACTCACACAGTGACACATAGACACACACAGATACCCATAGACTCACACAGAGACCCATAGACCCACACAAAGACACATAGACACACACGGAGACCCATAGACTCACACACACAGAGACTCATAGACTCACACAGAGACCCATACACTCACACAGAGACCCATAGACTAACACAGAAACCCATAGACTCACATGCACAGAGACTCATAGACTCACACAGACACCCATAGACTCACACAGAGACTTTTAGACTCATACATAGACCCATAGACTCACACAGAGACCCATAGACTCGTACAGAGACCCGGAGACTCACACAGAGACTCATAGACTTACACAGAGACCCATAGACTCACACACATAGCCTCAGACTCAGAGACCCATAGACTCACAAAGCGACACATAGACACACTCAGATACCCATAGCCTCACACAGAGACCTAAAGATTCACATACACATACACTCACACAAAGATAAATAGACTCAAACACACACAGACCCATAGACTCACATAGATACCCATATTCTCATACAGAGACACATAGACTCACACATAGTTGCATAGACTCACACAAAGACCCACCATACACTCGCAGAGTCTCATAGACTCACACAGAGAATCATAGACTCACATAAAGACCCATATACTCATACAGAGACCCATAGACTCACACAGAGACCTATAGACCCACACAGCAACACATAGACACACACAGATACCCATAGACTCACACAGAGACTCATAGACTCACACAGAGACTCATAGACTCACACAGAGATCTATACACTCACACAGAGACCCATAGACTAACACAGAAACCCATAGACTAACATGCACAGAGACTCATAGACTCACACAGACACCCATCGGCTCACACAGAGACTCATAGACTTACACAGAGACCCATAGACTCACACACAGAGACTCATAGACTCAGAGACCCATAGACTCACACAGCGACACATAGACACACACAGATACCCATAGCCTCACACAGAGACCTAAAGATTCACTTACACATACACTCACAGAAAGACAAATAGACTCAAACAAACAGACCCATAGACTCACATAGATACCCATATTCTCATACAGAGACCCATAGACTCACACATAGTTGCATAGACTCACACAAAGACCCACCATACACTCGCAGAGACTCATAGACTCACAAAGAGAATCATAGACTCACATAAAGACCCATATACTCATACAGACACCCCATAGACTCACACAGAGACCCATAGACTCACACAGCGACACATAGACACACACAGATACCCATAGACTCACACGGAGACCCATAGACCCACACAAAGACACATAGACACACACAGAGACCCATAGACTCACACACACAGAGACTCTTAGACTCACACACAGACAAATAGACTCACACAGAGACCCATAGACTCACAAAGCGACTCATAGACTCGCACAGAGACCCATACACTCACACAGAGGCTCATAGACTCACACAGACACCCATAGACTCACACAGAGAACCATAGACTGACATAGAGATGCATAGACTCCCACAGAGACCCATAGACTCACACACAGAGACTCATAGACTCAGAGACCCATAGACTCACACAGCGACACATCGACACACACAGATACCCATAGCCTCACGCAGTGACCTAAAGATTCACATACACATACACTCACACAAAGACAAATAGACTCAAACACACACACAGACCCATAGACTCATACAGAGACCCATAGACTCGTACAGAGACCCGGAGACTCACACAGAGACTCATAGACTTACACAGAGACCCATAGACTCACACACATAGACTCATAGACTCAGAGACCCATAGACTCACACAGCGACACATAGACACATTCAGATACCCATAGCCTCACACAGAGACCTAAAGATTCACATACACATACACTCACACAAAGATAAATAGACTCAAACACACACAGACCCATAGACTCACATAGATACCCATATTCTCATACAGAGACCCATAGACTCACACATAGTTGCATAGACTCACACAAAGACCCACCATACACTCGCAGAGACTCATAGACTCACACAGAGAATCACAGACTCACATAAAGACCCATATAGTCATACAGAGACCCATAGACTCACACAGAGACCCATAGACCCACACAGCAACACATAGACACACACAGATACCCATAGACTCACACAGAGACCCATAGACCCACACAAAGACACATAGACACACACGGAGACCCATAGACTCACACACACAGAGACTCTTAGACTCACACAGAGACACATAGACTCACACAGAGACCCGTAGACTCATCACACAGAGACCCATAGACTCACGCAGAGACTCAAAGACTCGCACAGAGACCCATACACTCACGCAGAGACCCATAGACTAACACAGAAACCCATAGACTCACACAGAGACTTTTAGACTCACACAGAGAACCATAGACTGACATAGAGACGCATAGACTCCAACAGAGACCCATACACTCACACAGAGACTCATAGACTCACACAGAGACCCATAGACTCACACACAGAGACTCATAGACTCAGAGACCCATGGACTCACACAGCGACACATCGACACACACAGATACCCATAGCCTCACGCAGAGACCTAAAGATTCACATACACATACACTCACACAAAGACAAATAGACTCAAACACACACACAGACCCATAGACTCATACAGAGACCCATAGACTCACACAGAGACCCATAGACTCGCACAGAGACCCGGAGACTCACACAGAGACCCATACGTCCGGTGGTTAATATCTCAGCGGATACATTTGGTGTTGCTGTGCAGACTGTAGGCAGTGACAGGTGACCAATGAATGCCACGACCGCTGGTGACCGAGGGCGACAATGGTTTTCCCGACGTGGCGCGCCCGGCCTTGTCTGACATTGTTTGTTTGCGCCGTCGGGCAGACCCAGCAGGCGCTGAGCACCATCCTGAGTGAGCTGCGTCCGGATGACCACTTCAGCATCATCCGCTTCGACCACCGCGTGGAGGCGTGGACCGACGAGCTCATGCAGGCCTCGGCCTGCAACGTGGATGACGCCAAGAAATATGTGCAGGGGCTGCAAGCCGAAGGGGGTAAGGGGGGGGGGGGACTCACGGGGGGCGGCGGGGGGGGCAATGCTTGGGGGGATGCGTTGGGGGAACATGGGGTGACGCGAAGGAACACATGGGAAGGTGCGCAGAGGCACGCTCGGACGCGAGGACAAAGGGATGAGGCGCACGGAGATGTGGGAGGACGTGGAGATGTGGGGACTCGGGTCCGAATGTGCTCGTGATTTGGCGTGATCAATGATGGACAACGACAGTGAAGGTTTTGTGCACAGAAACCATTTTTTTTATCTTGTACGAGCAGCAATGGCATCCTCCTCGTTCTGCCCCCACCCCCCTCCCCCCAGGCACGAACATTAACGAGGCGGTGCTGCGAGCCGTTGAGATGCTCTGCTCCGCCAAGCTGCAAGGAAGCCTCCCCGAGCGCTCCACCTCCATCCTGGTGTTGCTCACCGATGGTGACCCCACAGTCGGTACGCCGAGGAGCCTCCCCCATGGCCGGCCGGCCGCTCGCTCGTGCCACTCATCGGCTATTCCACTCAGCTCCTCCTTCACGTGAAGCTGTCACCGTCGCTCACTAAGTTTCCACTCCTCACTCATAGCTGACTTATTATTACTCCTAGATCACCCCACGACCCCCCCCCCCCCCTAATCTCCCCCTCTTGACTACCCCCACCGTTACTCTTCCCTCTTCACAGTCTCATTGTACGGCTTTCACTCATTAACCCCATTCATTCAATATGTAGTGACATCGGGGATGTCACTGTATGGTGCCGGCCTGAGAGGGCCATGGCGTGCGATGTCCCTACATCGCGGACAGCACCGGGTGGGTTGCTGTGTGAGTCCGGCTCTAGCATAGCATGGCGTGCGATGCACCGTCATCGCGTACACCCCGTGGGCGGGTGTAGTACCAGCCCCTAGCGGGGCTTGGTGAACACTGGGATAGCGCGGACACCGCGCATAGCGTGTGGTGCGAGCTCCCACCAGGGGGAGTGGTAGAGTGTCAGCCCAGGGGCAAGGTTGCCCCAGGCCATGGCACTCTGGTTGACCCCGTAGACACGTGATCCGGAGTGTCCACAGAATGGCCCCCAGGTGGTGGGTGCTAGGTGGTGATCACGTGTCCAGGGAGAGCTTTCGAGAGGGATCGAGAGGAAGCTAGAACGCTCTCGAAGGTGGGCGGGGCCAAGGGCAGAGCAGCCCCGACCTGGGAGGGGATATAAGGTGGGTCCCTGAGAGGGACCGGGGTCGCTGCATTCTACAAGCTGAAGCTCCACGTCTACAAGCTGGAAGCTCTACGTCCTACAAGGCATTAACACGTGGTCGGAGACCCGCGTGAGGGTTGACCCTTCGTAGCTGTAACTCCTACGTATAGAGTAGTTAGCTGGGTGGTCACCACCCTAGGCTGTATCTGGTGAAGGGGCAGCTACCCCTTTGTGTTAGCAGGTTGATGTTACATTAAAAGTGTTGCCTCTAAAGAACAACATCTGCGACTCAGTTGGACTCACTACAAATACATTCATTATCATTCACTGTCATCACCGAATTCACGGATTATCGCAGATTAGTCCCCATCGCTTCTCTCATGTATTTCACTCACCGCATCTCCACCATTACATCCACACGTTGTTCCTTTGTTAATTCTGTAAAAAGCGCCATCTCTTCTCTAGGGCATGCCATGCCCATTTAGCCACCTCTATCCGGCCAAACAGAAGCTGCTTGGGCATGCGGTGGCTGGATGCGCGTGGGCTGCAAGTCACTTTTTTGAATGGAATGAAATGAATGATTTGTGATCGCGGGCGACTGACAGAGTCTCCATCTCATTAGCAAACCACGACCACCACTCACCCTTGCAGCGCCGCACACCCCACAGTGGCTAGGAGATGTTAACTACCTCGCCTGGTATACAGGAGGTCATAGGTTTCGATCCCAACCCTGACGTCTGCTGTATATTTGGAGTTTGCGTGTGTGTCTCTCTCTCTCTCATCATCATCACAGTGGCTAGGAGATGTTAACTACCTTGCCTGGTATAGAGGAGTACGTGGGTTCGATCCCGACCCTGACGCCTGCTGTATATTTGGAATTTGCGTCTCTCTCTCTCCCCCCCTGGTCGTGTGGATTTTTCTCCGAGTTATCCGGTTTTTCCCACGGCATTTTCAGGGCATTTGGTTGCGATGCATTTCGATGTGATGATAATGATGATGAGCTGGCACTTGGTTGAACTGCCATTTGTGATGGCCGAATGACTTCAGAGCTACATAGTAGGACGTGGTAAAATAAAAAAATAGTTTTAGTTCATCGTTTTAGTTAATCAAATTGTGGGCAGTGACACCGGCACAAAGTGGCCAGCTCCTCTTGCGAGCGGCATCGTGGTGAATGCCCCCAAGTCAGTTTAACATCGAGTAGTAGTAATTGGAGGTGGATTTCGCGACCAATATTATCCATAATAATATAGGTTTTCGGGTTAGATCGTGTAAATATAAATGCTTCATTAAATCCTGCCACCAATACTGCCACCACCACACACTGCCAATTAGTAAGCGGTTTGTCACGTAAGCAAAACGTGGCGAATTTGTTACTAGTACAGCACTAACCGGTTGTGCATTGGAGAGTAAACCCACTACTACATTAACAATTATAGTGTAGTGTATAGTAGTGTAGTTTAGTATACAAGTTCAGCACTCAGAGATTGTGTGTTGGAGAATAAACCAACTACAACATTTACAAATCGAGTACCGTGACGTTTCACCAGTAATTACAACAACAACCAGCATCATCAGGCGACAGCCAGAGCTGTGTAAAAATCCTACTGTTTCGGTCTTAAATAGAGGTGGGGGTGAATGTGATGTAGTCACTTGTGAGCAAATCGGGACGTCTTGGAGACGTCTCCACTATATCTTGCTGGTTGTTGTTCAGACGTCCACACTGCGAGCAAGAGCGGACAGTGCCGCGGTGGTGGTCCGCCGGATTCCAAACCGCTGACCTCGCTCTGGTGCCACGCTAAAGCGTTCCCCCTCCTTCTGCTCGCCACGGTAATGTGGGATCGTTTGCCCCAGGTGTGATTGACCTGGCCGAGATCTCGGCCAACGTGAAGGCGGCCATGGCCGGCAACTTCTCTCTGTTCGCCCTCGGCTTCGGCTTCGACGTCGACTACGACTTCCTGGAGCGCCTCGCGCTCGAGAACCGCGGCATCGCACGCCGCATCCTCGCCGACAACAAGGCCGACGCACAGCTCAAGGTCCGTGCTGGGCCACGCGGTGGCCTGTGCCGCCGTGTGGGGCTACCTGGGGGTCACGTGGGGCCACGTTGGGGCCATGCGGGGCTGCGTGGGGCCATGCGGTCGCATCGAGCCAAAGGGGCCTTGTGGGGCCACGTTGGGGCCACGTTGGGGCCATGTTGGGCCATGCGGGGCCCCGCCAACAGGCAGTCCCCACATAGTCGCATGGTGGCGATGAGGATGATGAATGAACAATGCATGGACGACAATGATAATGATATCGATCTTGCTGATGATGACAAAGTTGAAAACAAGTATAGTGGATGATTATTATTTGAAAATCAATCGATGATGATAACGATGATGATGTGTCTGTAAAGTAGCACCACCTTATATGCCTAGGGCACTTTCCATCCCATTGCATCTCAGGAGCACCCGCCAGTGGCAGCTGTCCCTGTGCATTAGCCTGCCAATAAGAGTCATGATAGCAATGTGGTCTACCCTATAGCACCCCCAGTCACAGCTGTCCCTGTGCATGAGCCTGTGAATAGGAGGTAATGATAGTGATGTGCTCTATCATAGGGCACCCCCAGTGGAAGCTGTCCCTGTGCATTAGTCCACCAATAGGAGACCATGATAGCGATGTGGTCTATCCTAGGGAACCCCCAGTGGCAGCTATTACTGTCCACGAGCGTTGCCGTGTCGATATCTTCTGGGACCTTTTTTCCAGCATCCAAAATGATGAAAAATAAGAATAGGTTTCATACACTTTCTGGCAATAAGACAGGTGTTCCAATGTTCAAACACCAGATAGACACCTTTTACAAGGCATACATTCTTCATTAACCACACATACTTGTGGCAAAACATGCAAAAGGCCCCATGGATATAACTGCTCTACCTGAGCTATGCATGTTCTGATATTTGCATTGTCTTCGTATTGTTCTCTGGTCTGACACTGGTGAGACTAGGCCATAAAGAAGGCTGCTGTCTCTGGTGTAGGCCAAATCAGTTTCAAACTCGATGCGTATATTACGTTTGTTTGCATGTATTGCCACAAGTCCCACGTGTGGTTAACGCAGACTTGACGCCTTGCGAAAAGGTATTTATTCGGTGTTTGAACATCTTAACATACCTCCGGTTTTATTGGCAGAGAGGGTTTAAAAATCCGACGCGATTATCATTGCCAGGGCTTCTACGACGAGGTGGCGACGCCGCTCCTGTCGCACGTGGCAGTGCATTATGCGGGCGCGCCCGTCTCCGCGCTCACGCAGACCTCCTTCGACAACTACTTCCACGGCGCAGAGCTCGTGGTCGCTGGCAAGACGGCGGCGCATGCCACGGGGGGGCCGAAGCTGAGCGCCCACGTCACCGCCGAGTCGGTGAGATGCGGCCTCGCTCGCCCGCTAGCCCGTTCGCTCGTTCAAAAGCTCGCTCGCTCAATTGATTGTTCAGTCACTCGGTCGCTCGCTCACTCATTTGATCACTCAATCACGCGATCGCTCTCTCACTCGCTCAAAAGATCATTCAGTCACTCGCTCACTGGCTGGCTCGCTCGCTCAGTCAGTCGCTAGTTCACTCATGTGCTCGCTCGCTCGCTCGCTCATTCAAGCGCTCGTTTACTCACTCATTTGCTGACTTGATCATTCAATCACTCACTCACTCGCTCTCCTGCTCACTCGTGCACTCACTCTTTCAATCAGTCACTCACTCATACAATTACTCGCTCACTCACTAAAATGGTCACTCATTCGAATGATCACTCATTCGATCGCTCACTCACTCGCTCAATCGATCATTCAATCGCTTTCTCACTCGCGTGCTCACTCACTCATGCACCCACTCAATTTATCAGTCACTCGCTGCTTCAATCTCGCACTCACTTGCCGACTCATTCGAATGCTCACTCTCTCATTCGCTTGCTCAATTGATCAATCAATATTTAAATCACTCACCCGATCACTCATACACTCACTCATTCGACACTCGCACATCCAATCACTCGCTCACTCACGCATTTAATTGATTGTTCAATCGGTCGCTCACTCCTTCACTTGCTTAATCACTCATACACTCACTCATTTGATCCATCACTTGCTCATCCATTCGATCGCTCACTCATTTGATCGCTCACTCAGTCACTCATTCTATCACTTGATCGATCACCCACTCACTCGCAAACTTTCCCCCTTGTTCACTCGCTCGCTCACTCATCACATGTAAAGTATTTTTTGGATTCTCCACAGGAACACACGGGTGAGAGCTGCGAGTGTCCAGCAAACAGCACGTGGTGAAGCGGGGATTCTAGGAATCAATGAGCGAATGAATGAACGTCTCATCGAGTGAGTGACTCGGTGATTGGACGACTCTGTGAATTAGTAAATTACTCCACGAGTGAGCGAATGAATGACTGGCCATCGAGTGAGTGACTCATCAAGCGAGTGACTTTGGCGTGCGTGAGTGACCCGGTAATCTGACGGGTGAGGGACCGGGTCAGCGAGTGACTTCTAAGTGGAGTCCACCGTGTGGCGGCAGGTGGATAGCGACCTCACGCTCGATGTGGTGGCCGACGCGGGTGACACGGAGAGATTCCTGAGCGAGCATCGCTTCACCGACCCGACCTTCGCCGAGCGACTCTGGGCGTTCCTCACCATCAACCAGCTGCTGCTGCAGAGGTCTCCTCCTCCTCGCCTGCTCGCTTACCAACTCGCTCACCAGCCCAATCATCACCCACTCACCCACCCGCCCACTTACATACTTAATCACCGGCTCAGCCACTCACTCTCCCATCTACTCAATCACTCATTCACACATTCTCCCACTCACTCCTCACGCGTTCCCTTACCAACTCGCTCACCAGGCCAATCATCACCCACTCACCCACCCGCCCACTTACATACTTAATCACCGGCTCAGCCACTCACGCTCCCATCCACTCAATCACTCATTCACTCATTCTCCCACTCACTCCTCACTCGTTCACTTACCAACTCGCTCACCAGGCCAATCATCACCCACTCACCCACCCGCCCACTTACATACTTAATCACCGGCTCAGCCACTCACTCTCCCATCCACTCAATCACTCATTCACTCATTCTCCCACTCACTCCTCACTCGTTCACTTACCAACTCGCTCACCAGGCCAATCATCACCCACTCACCCACCTGCCCACTTACATACTTAATAACCGGCTCAGCCACTCACTCTCCCATCCACTCAATCCCTCATTCACTCATTCTCCCACTCACTCCTCACTCGTTCACTTACCAACTCGCTCACCAGCCCAATCATCACCCACTCACCCACCCGCCCACTTACATACTTAATCACCGGCTCAGCCACTCACTCTCTCATCCACTCAATCGCTCACTCACTCATTCTCCCACTCACTCCTCACTCGTTCACTTACCCACTCGCTCACCAGCCCAATCATCACCCACTCACCCACCCGCCCGCTTACATACTTAATCACCGGCTCAGCCACTCACTCTCTCATCCACTAAATCACTCATTCACTCATTCTCCCATTCACTCCTCACTCATTCACTTACCCACTCGCTCACCAGCCCAATCATCACCCACTCACCCACCCGCCCGCTTACATATTTAATCACCGGCTCAGCCACTCACTCTCTCATCCACTCAATCGCTCACTCACTCATTCTTCCACTCACTCCTCACTCGTTCACTTACCCACTCGCTTAACAACCCGATAAATCATCACCCACTCACCCACCTGTCCGCTGACATACTTAATCACCGGCTCACCCATTCACTCTCTTCCACTCACCCTCTCACCCACTCACACCTCAATCGTTCATTTACCCACTTTCTCACCAGCACAATCAATCGCCGACTCGCCTGCCCACTTCTATACTCAATCACCGGTTCACTCTCTCATCCACTCACCCTCTCACTCACCCTCCAGCTGACGCTCTCACTCACCCTGCCACTCGCCCTCATGCTCGCCCTCCCGCTCGCCCTGCAGGACGATCTCGCTGTCCGCCCAGGAGAAGAGTCGGCTGTCCCAGCGTGCGCTCGACCTCTCTCTGCGCTATGGCTTCGTGACCCCGCTCACCGCCATGGTGCTCACCGTGCCTAACGCCCCGAAGCAAAACCTCGTGGGCGGGCACGCTGGGGAGCGCAAGTGCTGCGTCGGTGAGCCAGTGTGTGGGTGGGCGGGCGAGTGTGCAGGCGGGCGGGCAGGTGAGCTTGCGGGGCGAACGGGCGGGTGAGTGAGCAGGTGACTGAGCGGGCGAGTGAGCGTGACTGGGCGGGCGAGAAGGCAGGTGAGCAAGTGATTGTGTGCATAGCGGTGATGTGTGCCTTGCTACAGACTCGGTGAACCGAGTTCAATTCCCGCTCACGGCCAACACCAGTGACGATTGTCTGAACCAGTCCTGCGCCTGCCTTAGGTCGACTCAGGCTGATCACTAACCTGTTGTGTTAGTGTGTAAGCTTCACCACTTCAAAGACAAAGGCGGCCGGGTGTGATGCTGGCCACCCACCCCCTTGAGTACCGTGTCAGCCTACATAGGTGCTTGCTAACGGCACTTGCCTTAAGAATATGTTAAGGCAATAGCGGGGATTTTTGTCTTCTTGTATGAGTGTGCAGGTGACTCATTAGATTGGTGTGTGTGATGTGCTGGCAACCGTTCCACAGTTTCAATTATATCACTGAAACCCCACGGTGAAAACTCCCAACTAAGCTTGTGCTGGAGACCTCAGGGGACCTTCGAAGACGAATTCTGGTCAAACCCAAAACTGTACCCCATCCCCTCAGGGTTCCTGCAGAAATCCACTGCGAGTGGCCACATAAAATATTGGAATGCTCACAGCAGAGGAGGGGCTTGCCAACTACTCTGTCGGGAGCTGGAATGGTACCGCCTGGACTTCTGTGGATTATAGGAGGTTCCGGTGGGTTGGTTCTGGCTCCAGTCACTACGAGGGGAGGGACAGCCCCTACACATGGGGCACATAACTGATAGCTCGCGTTGGCATCGCCCCACGATTCCTCCCGATGCCAAGGGGAAATGGGTGACGCTCATAACTGTGGCACATGCAGCTGCTGTGGCTGCATTGGGTACACGGTCCGGACCTCTCCCAGAGAGACCCTGGCTAAAGGAGGAGGTGTTCCGGCTGTCTTACATAAATCAACAGGCACACTCCCGCCCTCTACAACATTCCACAGCCGAGAATGAGGAGGCTTACCACAGCCTTTGCTCGGAGGTTCAGAGAGTTGTGCGGTGCTGCAAGGGATGTGTGGTGGTCGCGGGTTGATGAGGAGATGGATAAAACCTCAGCAGCGCGTGATCACAAATCACAATTTAACTCCAAAAAAGTAACTTGCAGTATTACACATACCACCAATCTTAATTATAAAGCACGGTCATCTGATCTCCAACCCCCAAGAATAGGTTCGTAGGTTGGTTTAGCATATCTGTGAGGTCTTGGGGGAGCGAAAGCCCTTCAGATTAAAAAAAAACATATCATGGGCCAAGGTGGGGTTGACTCTGCTAAGGCTGCTGTGCCTCAAATATTGGAGGAAGCAGTCGCTCCCAGTGAGTGGTTGGCTGAAGTGCCATCTGTTAAAGATGGCACTTCAGGTAAAGCGCCGGGCAGAGATGACCTCTCAATTGAACTGCTGAGAGAGGTCGGTGTTTGTGTGCAGGCTTTTCCCGATGTGACTTCAGTACAACTGTCTGGTCAACAGGACAGGTTCTGCAGGATTGAAAATACGCCCTGGTGGTCCCCATTTTTAAGAAGGGGGACAGCACTGATTCCAACAATTACCAGGGCATCTCCCTCCCCAGTGTGAGGCCCGGAAAGGTCACTGGCAAGGATGATTCTACATCACCTTGTCAGGCACGCTGAGGAGAGGCTCGCGGAACCCGAATGTCGTTTCAGGTCGAGGAGGTCAAGGCCTATTATACCATCAATAGGCCAGGGCACTGGGTTATTCTCAGGGATGCTCTCTGGCTCCTACACTAATTAACATTTATTTTTGACCACGAGAAGCTTCCCATGGCTGTGTAGTAGTCGTAGATGGAGACGGAGTCGTAGTAGGAAGCAATACTTCTATTTATGTCTTTAACAACGACTCACTAGGTCCTTGACACGAAGGGGTAATGACCCCTTCTACCCACAACCTGTGGAGGTACAGCCTCCGGGCTATGTACCCTAGCCGTTGGCCTGACTACTGCTATAGTCCTCCGGTTAGCTGGACCTAGGGGAGGCTGACCCACCACTGGCACCGGTGGGTCTCTGACCACTGGCCCATCCAGACCCGGCCCTGAGAAGGACGTCGGGCTGAGGGAACCTCAGGGTCCTAGCCTACCGACCGCTGGCACCACACTGTGCCCCGGCCCTTAGAAGGACGTCGGGGCTTGGGGTCCAGGGTCTCTTCTTCAGGCGGCTCCTCGACTTCGGCTTGAGGCAAACTGAACTCTGCTCTCAGGAGCCTGCCTTTTATACGATTCCCCACCGAGGGGCGGGGTTCCGAGTGATCACAGATCCCTCGCAGCCCCCTCCCCTCAGGAGGGGTTCTGGCCACAGGAAGCCCAACCAATCTGTGTTTGTTTGATCCCGCTTTCTGCCTAGGGCCAAGGTTCTGGGGGATCCCACACACTCACAACACACACACTCACAACACACACACTCACAACACACACACTCACAACACACACACACACACTTCACAGCCTCGACCCCTCAGGCGGGGTCTTGGTCAGGGTTATCAGTAACCCCGCTCTGGTAGGTACTGTGTAGCGTGTGCGTGTTTACAGATTGACCACCACAGCTGTACCGGACCAATCTCTGTTTTGTACAATACGATGGGAGGCTGATCGATGCCCAGGTGATGTCAAGCGATAGCTCCCTGTTGGTCAAATGTGTTATGTACGCTGATGATCTGGTAATTGCTGCCCACTCTGAGAAGGAGTTGGAGATGCTACTGATGAACCTGCCATATGCTATTTGGAAATGGGCCTTAACCTCAGCCCCACTAAAACAAAGCACCTTCCTTATTGTTTATTGTGACTGGTGGGGCAGTTGTGGGGAGAGTGGAGAGGTTCCCTTACCTGGTCAGTGTACTTATGACCAGTTCCGGTTTGACAACAGAGGTCTCACTCCAAATCAGTTAGGTGCCATTTTCCTTTTATCAGCTACGTAACACTTTGTGGAGGTTACCCGGTTTGTCGCTCAACACGAAGTGTCAAGTCTTCTCGACCACGGTTATGCCCTCCCTTATCGATGCTTGCAAAATATGAAGCCCTTTTATGGAACATCTGCACCAGTGTGAAACATTCAGGCTTGCCTGCCTGCGATCCATCCTGGGATTAACCAGACTGGATTGCGTGACGAGCTCACAGATCCTTGAAAGATCTGAACATACTCCCATCAGTAAGCTCTCAGCCACCGCATGCCCAGCCAATGCATGCCAGAGGAGTTCATGTTTAAACAGACTAGAGAAGAAATGGACTGATGTGGTACAAGAGGATATGGAGCTGAGCGGACTTGTGGAAGACTGTTACCAGCGATGTCAAAATCTGCCCCTATGGAGGAGTCTCGTGAAGGACGCTACTGGGCAGTTGGAGGCAGTCGCCCTCCAGCAACACGGAGGGCAGATGAACTATGCTTACAGCAACGAGCGGAGCGCCGGACGGTGAAAACTCAGCAAGTTTATATAGTGGGGATCACAGGTGGTGCATCTGCCGGTCATCCCAGTCAGTCAACCCATGGCACCTGCTGAGTCTGTCCTGTGACCTGCCAGCAGCGAGCCTTTGACACTTCACGTGGTCTCAAAGTGCACCTAGCCTGGCACAAGCACCGTGGCTACATCACTGTTACTTCATGGTGAATGGCGGCTATTGTTGCTGTTGGGTGAGCCGACTGTATGTTTGTTTGTGAGTGGGGAGCGGTAATGTAGTGGTTACCGCATTGTGCTGCCAACCTGGCAACCCAAGTTCAATTCCCACTTACAGCCAACATCAGTTGCAAATATCTTAACCGGTCGTGGGACTCCCCTAGGTTGACTCAGCCTTAAACAAGTACCTTGTATGGTGTGTAAACGTCAACATTTTGGGAGACAAAGGCGGCCCGGCGTGGTTCTGGCAACACTGCCCTCTCGTGTGGCGTGCCAGCCTTAATAGGTGCTCACTGAGAGTACTTGCCCTAAAAGCGTGTGTTGGCTAAACAGGGGACCACTGTCTTTATCTTTGTGTTCCACAGGACGAGTCCCCCCTGGACAGACGCCCCAACCCTACCAGCCCGAGCCCGACCCTCCATGTGTGTGAGATGCCTACTCATTCACTCATTCACTCACTCGTTCACTCACTCATCCACTAATTAATTCACTCATCCATGCATTAACTCAATCATTCACACATCCACTTACTAATCTACTCACTCATCCACTTTCTCGCTCATTCATTTATTCATTAACTCATGCACTAACTCATTCAACCATCCACTTACTCATTCACTTATCAACTTACTCATACTCATCCACTCACTCACGGAATTATTCCCTCACACATTCACTCAATATTCACTAACACATTCACTCATGCATTCACTTTGCTCATGAATGAACTTTCTCATTCACGAACTCATTCGTTGCTGAGATGCCCCGACGGAGAGAAGATCGCCTCCAACTAAAACAACTCGCAACGCGTTTTTCAATTACACTGCGCGTTTCTGTGTGTGCGTGTGCGTGTGTCTGTGCGGGTCTGTGTGTGTGTGTCTGTGTGTGTGCGGGGAGCGGTGATGTAGCTGTTAGTAAGCTGCACTACACACCCGGCGACCATGGTTCGATTCCTGCTCACGGCCAATACCAGTGACGATTATCTGACCCGGTCTTGATCCTGCCCTAGGTCGACTCAGCCTCAAATGAGTTACCCGGTGCGGTGTGTATACATAACCAATGGGGAGACAAAGGCGGCCGGACGTGGTACTGGCCACTGAACCCCGCGTGTGCCGTGCCGGCCTTCATAGGTGCAGCTACTCGCGAACAACACTTGCCCCAACAGTCTGTTAAAGGCTTCACGAGTGACGTTGGCATTTGCCTTCGTGACCCACAACAGAAAATAAATGTATATTTACTATAATAGCACATAAATGGGGAGGGGCCATTGCCCGAAACGTCAGCTATGATACAGGGACTCCTCCTCTACTTACGAACATTCGACTTACGAACTTTGAGAGATATGCACAAACCTGATCCGTATGTCCAGTTGCCTATTCAGAACCAAGAGTCATAAATAGATGCCACCACCGTGGCGGCATCTACATCTGCAGAACGTGAAGAACCAGTGGCATCTACATCTGCAGAACGTGAAGAACCAGTGGCATCTACATCTGCAGAATATGAAGAACCAGTGGCATCTACATCTGCAGAACATGAAGAACCAGTGGCATCTATACCTGCAGAAGATTATAAAGCTATTCCCGGTGTTTAGTGTACATGCCGTACAACACGTTTCGAATGGACAAGAGTAAAGTTGGACTTACAAACGGGCAGGTTAGGTTCCAGAGGAATCTTCTTAAGTAGAGGGGTCCCTGTATGTGTATTTGTTCCCCATGGGGGCCGCACGCGATGACGAAGGTACCGAGTTGTGTTTTATATCGGTTGTGCTCGCTCACCGCTGCCAGGGCCGTGGCTTTAGGTGCTTGAACCGCACGTTATGTGATTCCTACCCTGCCCCCCTGCCCCCCTGCCCCGCCTCTCTCCACCACCACCACCGCCGCCGCCACTGCGCTGCCCAGGTTCACCACCCAAGCAGTGCCCTCCGCTCGTCAAGACCCCACCCACCGTCCTCCCCGTGGGAATCACCCCGCGCCCCCCCCACGTGGGTGAGTGCCGCCCACACCACCCCGCCGGGATGGGGGAGGGGGGGTAGTGGGGGATGTGTGGGGGGTTGGGGAGGTGTTGTGGGGTATGGGGCAGGGGTGGTGGGGGATGGGGGAGGGGTGGGAGGGGTGGGGGATGGGTGCTGGGGTAGTGGGGGGAGGGGTGGTGGGGGCAGGGTTGGTGGATAGGGGGAGGGGTGGTGGATATGGGGGAGGGGCGGTGGGGGATATGGTAGGGGTAGTCGGGGGATGGGGGTGGGTTATGGTAGAGGGGTTTGGGGTGTGGGGGATGGGTGGTGGGGAGTGTGGGTGGCGTGGTGGGGGATGGGGGAGGGGTGGTGGGGGATGGGGGAGGGGTGGTGGGGGATGTGGAAGGGATGGGGTAGGGGGGTGTGGGAGGGGTGGTGGGGGATGGGGGAGAGGTGGTGGGGGGTGGAGGAGCGGCGGTGGGGGGTGGAGGAGGGGTGTTGATGGCTGTGTGTCTCTGCCCGTGCCGTCTCCCAGTCGACAATGATCCCCACTTCATCATCGCGCTGCCCAAGTGGAAGGTGACTGTCTGCTTCAATGTGGACGAGGAGCCGGGGAAGATCATCAACCTCGTGTCCGACCCAGAGCGAGGTGGCCGTCGTGACAACCTCTCCGTCTGTGTGTGTGGGCTGGCCGACCGGTGCAGAAGTCACCAGTCAGCACTGCTGAGAGTCTGGCTTCACGTCCGGGTTTCATCATCAGCTGCCCAACCACAGCGATTATGCAGGGGTCTCACAAACTCGCACAGAGACCCTTAGACTAACAGAGACTTTTTGGTTCTTTCGGTAAAGTCACGTAGGTATAAAATAAATAAATTAAATCACGACACTTCGGGCGCAACACAAGTGTCCGTCATCAGGTGGGACAACCACAGCAATAAACAATTGCTGAAGTGGGCAAAAGGGCTGCTGCAACAAGAGGCTTTATAGGTAAGAGAAGGGGGGAGGAGCCAGGGAGGAGAGACAGGGAGGGTGGGCTCCCATGATGTTGTTTTTTTCCGAGACCAAGGTACTCTGCAAACATTCGGGCTACTATCAAAGGCTTGTTCATGAAGCCATCCAGATATATAAACATAGACATAACTTCAACCGGGAAGATGGATACAGATTGAGCAATCATTGGAAGGGTGTTATTAACCAGGTGAAACCTAAACTGCTTTTGGCCTGCCTTCATATCCGCATCTCCGGTTTCCGAACCCTCCCAACACCCAGCCCCGCCCACTTCCCCTCCCCACCCCGGCATGTTTGCCGTGCTTGTGTCTTACTTGTCGCCTCCACTCCCCCTACCCCACACCCCCACCCTCCTTGTCTCTCCTCCCTGGCTCCTCCCCCCCTTCTCTTGCCTATATAGCCTCTTGTTACAGCAGCCCTTTTGCCCACTTCAGCAATTGTTTCTTGCTGTGGTTGTCCCACAGCAAGAATGATGACGGACACTTGTGTTGCGCCCGAAACGTCGTGATTTAATTTATTTTATTTTCTACCTACGTGACTTTACCGAAAGAACCAAAGAGTATGGATCCTGCAGTCACGAAAACTTCAAATATAGATTTTTAACACAGAGACCCGTAGACTCACACTGAGACCCATAGACTCACACACAGAGACCTGTAGACTCACACAGAGATCCATGGACTCACACAGAGACCCGTAGTCTCGCACAGTGCTAGCGCTACGACACATGCTTGCTTCTGGGTTTCGCCACGTGGTGTTAGTTTGACGCCAGCATCCTCATTGTCAGCCCTCAACCACCCAAACTTGATTGTTTGCACAGACATCATTATTATTGACAGGCTCACTTAAACAATCGTTCTCAGGGTGCTACGTGCCAATGTATCGATCAAAAGTCTGATCGATACATTGGCACACACAGCTGTCAACCCATACGGTTCACTCGTATTCTTGTACAGGTTTTCAGGTCCGTACAGCATACAGTCGTTTAAATATGGGCAAAAAAATGTTTGTCTATTTTTTTGCGTTTCTCCCTTGTGATGGGACTTTGTAGGATGAACGTTGAGATATATAAGGGACACAGAGTGACCAATAAAGTCTGAATTGGTCTCTAATAGGGTAGGCACTGATAAGGGGTTGACAGCTGTGGGGACGTACCTTCCTGCTGCTAACAACGATCGATGCCTACGGTTTGCTGGCTCGCTGCTGGCTCTGGGCTCCTCTCGATGTCCGACAGTAACTCCCCCATTGTCCGGGGGCCTCTGGGCCGTTGCCACCGAAACTAGCTGGGCTGCTGGCTACACGGGATTTGACCTGTTTAGCAATGAAAACGTTGAGCTGAGTTGAAACGGCAGAAGAAAATGTTGGGAAGACGTTAAATAGTAATCGTAATAATAACAACAGATATTGGTACCAAAGAAGTGGGACTAATGGATACAGACGGTCCATTTAATATCAGTAGAACTTTTCAATCTGTGCTCCTGCTAATGTGTCGTCTGTAAACTAAAGTAAACTCTTCTTTCCAGAAGTGACCTGGCCACAAACGGTAGCTCAACGAAGTGGCGGCTTGTGATCATCGCGTGGAAATTTATAGCAGTGAAATACTCCATAAACGCCTGATGTTCATTATAAATGTGGAGGGAAACATCTGAGGAACCCGAAAAAAGATCCACGCGACCACCACTGGGAGAGAGAGGACCACGCAAATTACAAATATACAGCGTCAGGGTCGGGATCAAACTCGCGAGCTCCTGCATTCCAGGCGAGGGAGTTAACATCTCGCCACCGTGGCACTGCACTGGGCGAGTACCTGGTGCGGTGAGTAGTAAACATCGCAACTGGGGAGACAAAGGCGGCCGGGCGTGGTGCTGGCCACCGACCCACTCGTGTGCCATGCCGGCATTCATAGGTGCTGCTCGCTAACAGCACTTGCCCCAACAGCCTCTCAAAGGCTATACGGGGGATCTTTGTGTGTCTATGGTGAGGAGCTAGAGTGTAGCGGTTAGCGCACCACGCTACGAACCCGGCGACCCCAGTTCGATTCCCACTCATGGCCAACACCGCCAGTGATGATTATTTAAACCGGTCCTGGACCTCCCCTAGGTCGACTCAGCCTCAAATGAGTACCCGGGTGCGATGTGTAAAAACATTCACACTGGGGGGAGACAAAGGTGGGCGGGCAGGCGGACTTTTCAAGTGGGCGCGGGTAATTGGCCACGCACCGTAACCCCGCGTCCGCTAACCGTGCCGGTTGTGCTCTCGTGGTGGCGCCAGGTGTGGTGGTGAACGCCGAGCTCGTGGGGGCCAAGAGGCCCGAGGTCGGCGCCACGAGGCTCGCCACCTACCTGGGCCGCGTCGCCGTGGCGATGGACCGCGCCGACGTGACGCTCAACGTCGGCACGGACGACGTTGTCGTCGCCGTCGGCAACAGGGCCAACAACGGCAGCGGCGTGCGGGAGACTACCCTGCCCTGGGCCACGGGGGCCACCATCACCCATGGCAGGTGAGGCACGGCGACGAGATACGGGAAGGGGCGACAAGGTGCGGGGAAGGGCGATGAGGTGTGTGTGGAGGGGCGACGAGGTGTGGCGAGGGGCAGGGAGAGGCAACGAGGTGCGGGGAGGGAAGATGAGGTGCGGGGAAGGGAGAAGAAGTGCTGGGAGGGGCGATGATGTGCGCGGAGGGGTGACGAGGTGCGCTGGAAGAGATGAAGTGTGAAGAGGACCAGTGAGGTCTGTTGGAAGTGATGAGGTGTCGCACAGGTTATGAATGTGAGTTGGGTGGTGGAGGGTTACACAACACAACATTTGTAGAGGCCATCATGGGACCTAACCAAAAATCTACAATGAATGATTTGAGTGTTGTCCCTTGTCTCCCTTGTCCCGTGTTTCTGTCCTCCATGTCCCTGTGTCTCCGTGTCTCTCTGTGTCTCCTCTCCCTGTGTCTCCGTGTCTCTGTCCCACGTATCCCTGTGTCTCTGTCCCTGTATCTCTGTGTCTCCTCTCCCCGCGTTTCCGTGTCTGTCCCACGTATCCCTGTGTCTCTTTCCCTGTATCTCCGTGTCTCCTCTCGCTGTGTCTCCGTGTCTCTGTACCCCATGTCCCTATGCCCCTGTGTCTCTATCTCCTTTCCCCGTGTCCCCGTGTCCCCGTGTCTCCTATCTCCGCGTCTCTCCGTATCTCTCCCCGTCTCTCCGTGCGTCCCCTTGTCTCTCCCCACCCCCCGTGTCTCCGTGTCTCTGTCCCCCCATGTGCCCCCTACCCCTTCCCTCGCAGCGTCCGCGTGCACGTGGAGGCAGGCCGCAGGCTCACGGTGTTGCTGGACGAGCGCCCCACCTTCGTCGTTGTCCTCCACCGCGTGTGGAAAGGCCACCAGGTGCACCGAGACTTCCTGGGCTTCTACACCGTGGACCAGAGCCTCCTGTCAGCTAGCACGCACGGCCTCATCGGTACGCCGGAGCGACCAAATCGGACGAAATCACCGATCAGAATTTGCCCTCCTCCCCCCCCCCCCCTCATATATACGGAAGAAAGTCCGGCAGGATGGTTGGTCGAAGTGGGGGGGGGGGGGGGCGGCAGTCGCCCTGCAGCAACAATGGAACACAGAGGAGCGATGCTCACAACAACGAGCAGAGTGCCGGGTGGCTAAAATGCAGCAAGTTGGCACAGTGGGGGGTACTCACTGGTGCATCTACCGGTCATTTCACTCGGCCAACCCATGGCACCTGGGTCTGTCGCGAGACGTCCTGTCAGCGAGCCGTCGACACTTCACGTGGCCTCAATGTGCACCTGGCCTGATGTCCAGGGGCGGAGCCAGGGGGGGGTGACACGGGTGACATTCTGCGTATAAGTGTACGACACTCGGTCTGGCGGACTCCGTGCAACTGCATTGTCAGAGTGTGTCGCCAACCGATGGCGTCTATTTCAACAGCCTGACTCTCTAACCATTCTTGAAATTAAAATTTGCTGAATGTCACCCCGGCCTGAAATCCTGGCTCCGCCCCTGCTGACGTCACTGTCACTTAGTGGCGGCTATTGGTGTGTGTGGTCTTAGTGGATCGTGAATCGAGGTTTTAATCTGTAATAAATTCAGCTCAGGTTGTGGCTCAAAGTTGCATCGGGACAGCCGTCTTGAAAATTGTCGATTCATTGGCAAGCGATGCTTGGGCCGAGTAGTGATGTGGCAAGCACCCCCTTCACTCGATTGGCTCTTATCAGCGAGATCGGTGATTCCGTTGCAGTACGCTTTTATTGTGCCAGGGCACCACCTGGCCAGGGACTGTCTCTGCATCTCCTTTGTCTCCATGTTATCCATGTCTGTGCCTCTGTGTCTCCTCCGTGTTATCCATGTCTGTGTCTCTGTGTGACTGTGTCTCTGGGTATCCGTGCCTCCACATTGTTCGCCGGCCTTCTTGCCCCACACACTTCGGTCTCGTCGGTACACAGGGCCCCTCGCCACACACTTTCTCCTTGTCGATCTGTGTCCTCCCCCATGTCTTAGAGCTGATCTCGCCCATGGTTTCCCATCACTCCAGCGCAAGGTGCCTGCGTCAACAGGATGACTCTATCCCGATGGGCAACTTTAGCCCACACCTGGGGCAGGAGGTCATAGAAGGCATCCCTCCACTGATGTTCATCTTCGCTGGGGGCTTAAGCCACTACCACCACTATTACTCACCTCCTATTGGCGGGGAGGCGAGCCCGCAGTAGCCTGATACAGCTTCCCACACCCCACCACCACGCTCACACGACCCTTTCATTCTTTTGTCAGCTTCTTTACCTGAGTGGAGGACTGTCCACCCCTCGTATAGACTGGAACCAGAACCAGCCCACCAAACATCCCATATTCCACAGAGGTCCAGTCGGTACTAGTCCAGCTTCCAACAAAGGAGTGGCAGCCTCTCCTCCACAGTGAGCATTCGGACATTTCACATGGCCAATCACAGTGGATTTGTTCTGTTGTTTCTGGAGGAAACCCCAGTGGTGAGGGCTCATTCTCTTGGCATCGAGAAGAAAGGGCATAACCGTGAAAGAGAAGACCCGAAGCTTTGTGTGGAGTGACAGACCAGGTAGCTTCCACATAGCATTGCGCAACCGATGAAAAGATAATGCCGCCCGACTGATTTGGAGTTAAACCTCTGCTCTCAAACCGGAGCTGGACATAAGCACACTACTCAGATATGGGAAACTCTCCACTCTCTCCACAACTGCTGCATCACCAATGAGGAGCTGAGGAGGTGGAGTGTTTGGTGGCACAAAATACCCAGGCATGTGATTAGTTTTGGTGGGGCTGATGGTAAGACCCCGCCTCTTAGTGGTACACTTCATGTTCAGCAGTAGTGCCTCCAACTCCTCGACTGAGTGAGCAGCAATCACCAGATAATCAGCATATATAACATCGTTGATCAATACGGAGCCATCACTCGACCCACCCGAGCATCGATCAGCCTCCAGTTGTATCTGTACCAGATGGAAATTCCTCCAGTACAGCCATAGGAAGCTTCTCGAACTATGTGGTCAAAGCTCATGTTAAATACAGCGTGCTTTAAAAAAAAATGAACACTGACATGGGAGTATCGTTTTTAATGGGAAAAGAACGGATAATACACCGTAGCATGATAACAAATGTAATGTTAATAGCTTCAAAAAGTCAAGGTCTCCACTTGTTCGCCATCGTTATCAACACGTGCCTGGAATCTTCTCCAGGTGGTCTCCAGAGCCCAGAGGCAGCACATTTCTTGTGGTATTGTTGAAAATTATCGGAAATGTTAACATTTTTTTAAATCACCATGTAATGTGGAAGCCAGAGGACATCCCTGTAGCACCCCAAGGAGAACAGGGAATGGCTCCGACTCCTGTGACCTAGCTTTACCCCGGACTGCCCACCATCATTAAGGCCCTTAGTGATTGTGAGCCGAGAGTCAGGGACTCCGAAAGCACAAACAGCTGCCCACAGCCCTGACTTGTTGATGGTATCATAGGCCTTGACCAGGTCAGAAAAGTAGAGATGTAGGTCTCGTTGGAATTTCCTATACCTCTGCTGTTGCAGACAGACAGAAATTTGGCATACGTGCAGGACCGCCCTGGTCTGAAACCACATTGGGGCTCCGTATGCCTCTCATCAGTGTGTCTGGCAAGGCGATGTTGAATAATCCTTGCCAGGACCTTTCTCGGCACACTGAGAAGAGAAATGCCTCTATAGATGTTACAAGGATGTCCTGGTAAATGCCCTCGTGGGCATCCTTCCAAACCTGCGGAAACCGTCCTGTGGTCTAGACAGTTGTGATGATGTCATGTAGGGCAGTCTGCACACAGATGCCACCTTCCCTCAGCATTTCACGTGGGAGATCGTCTCTGCCCGGCGCTTTTCCGCGTCTCACACACACGTACACATACATATGTACACATACATACACACATATACAAGTACACATAGATACGTGACATAGCCAAACGTCGAATTGTCACAAAATCCGGTTCACCTTCCAGCCTTACGGCCGTTGCTGACACCACGCGACCGCTGCTCCTGTCAGCTGGCGAGCCGCAGGCCTTGAGTGCCCTCCCGGCAACAACAACAAAATACGTCCAGGGGACCCCGGGGATCCCCTTGGTCACCGCGCTCGCGTTTCACTGCGCCGCAGGTCAGTTCTTCGCCGAGCCCGAGGTCGCGGTGTTCAACACCCAGCCCGGAGAAGAGCCGGGGAAGCCGACAGCCACCATGCTGGTGAAGGGTCACAAGCTGAAGGTCACACGGTGAGTCCACGCCGCCATCACCGCTGCACCAAAAAGACAAATATCCCTCGTGTAGCCTGTAACGTACTGTTGGGGCAAGTGCTGTTAGTGAGCACCTATGAAGGCCGGCATTGTGGCACACGAAGGGGTGGGTGGCCAACACCACGCCCGGCCGCCTTTGTCTCCCCAGTGGCGATGTTTACGCATCGTACCAGGTACTCATTTGAGGCTGAGTCGACCTAGGGGAGGCCCATAACCGGTTCAGATAATCGTCACTGAGGTGTTGACCGTGAGCGGGAATGGAACTTGGGCCGCTGGGTTTGTAGCTCCCCGCACCATCACTGCTCACCAGCTGCACCAGCAGACAAAGGTCACCCGTGTAGTGCCCCATGGGCCGGTGGGGTAAGTGCCACGAGCGAGTGGCGCCTTCGAGGACCAGCGTGGCGCACGAGGGGGTTGGGTGGCAAAGTGCCTTGCCCGCTTGCCTTTGCCTCCACAGTGCTGACGTCAGTGGAAACCGATTATTCGATATGATCAGAGGAATCGGGGAGGGAAATTTTACAAGAACGGAAGCTACGGTCGTGGTAGCATCACAGGACTGAGTGTGTGGGTGGGTGAGTTGGTCAATGTGTGGTGGATCCCCCATCGAGCCTTAACCAGACTGTTGGGGCAGGTGCTGGTAGCGGTTGGCACTTATGAAGGCCGGCACGGCACATGCGGGGGTGTGTGACCAGCATCCACGCCCGACCGCATTTGCCTCTCCAATGGCGATGTTTATACACCGCACCAGGTACTCATTTGAGACTGATTCGACCTAGGGGAGGCCCAGGACCGGTTCAGATAATCGTCACTGGTGTTGGCCGTTTGCAGGAATGAAACGCGGGTCGTCGTGTTCGCAGCGGAATATGCGCTAATCACTACACTACTGCTCTCCACAGACACATACATACACACACAGACACACACAACCGCACGCACGTGCACTGACCTCACGCGGGCAGGCTCCGTGCCGCCACCGCTTATCTCTTGTTCGGCGGTGGTGGCATGGCCGGGTGCCCTCTGTGTTTACGCTGCGCTCGTTACTGCCCCAGCAGCCTGCCAGGGTTCATACATGGGGGGGGGGGGGGGGGGTTGCGTGTGGGTGGTGGTGGTGGGCCGGGAGTCAGAGCCATTCCCTGTACACCTTGGGGTGCGACAGGGATGTCCTGGCTCCCACATTATTTAACATCTATTTTGACCACGTAGTTCGTGAAGCCTTCAATAGATGTACCGGGGGAATCTCCATTTGGTACAGATATAATGGGAGGCTGATCGATGCCCGGGTGCGGTCAAGGGATGGCTCCCTATTGCTCAACCACGTTATGTATGCTGATGATTTGGTAATAGCTGCTCATTCAGAGGAGGAGTTGGAGACGCTGCTGCTGAGACTGGAGCGTGCCACTAAGAGATGGGGCCTTACCATCAGCCCCACCAAAACCAAGCACCTGCCTAGGTATTTTGTACCATCGGACAATCCACCCCCACAACTCCCAATCGGTGATGGGGCAGTTGTGGAGAGAGTGGAGAGTTTCCCATACCTGGGCAGTGTGCTTATGACCGGCTCCAGTTAATCAGCAGAGGTCTCACTCCGAATCAGTCGAGCGGAAATATCTTTTCATCGGTTGCGTAATGCTGTGTGGAAGCTACCTGGTCTGTCGCTCCGCACTAAGCTTCAGGTCTTCTCGGCCATGGTCATTCCCTCCCTTCTCTGCGCTTGCGAAACGTGGACCCCCTTAATGGAGCATCTTCGCCGGTTGGAAACATTTAGGCTGGCCTGCCTACGATCCATCCTGGGTTTAACCAGGCTGGATTGTGTGAGGAGCTCAAAAATCCTTGAAAGATCTGGGCAAGGTCCCATCGGTGAGCTGCTCCGGCAGGCAAGGCTGCGTTGGCTGGGTCATGTAGCCCGCATGCCCAGCCACCGCATGCCGAAACAGCTTTTGTTCGGCCGGATCGAGGGGGCTAAACGGGCGCGGCACGGGCTAGAGAAGAGATGGAGTGATGTGGTACAGGAGGACGTGGAGCTGAGTGGACTTGCCGATGACTGGTAACAGCGGTGTCAAGATCGGCCTCTGTGGAGGAGGCTCGTGAAGGATGCTATTGGGCAGTTGGAGGCAGTCGCCCTCCAACAACAACGAAGGGTGGAGGAGCGACGCTCACAACAATGAGCGGAGCGCCGGGTGGCTAAAGCACAGCAGGTTGGCACAGTAGGGGGCACAGGTGGTGCACCAGCCAGTCATCTCAGTCAGTCGACCCGTGGTACCTGGGTCTGCCCCGTGACCTCCTGCCCGCGGGCGTTCGACACTTCACGTGGCCTCAAGGTGCACATGGCCTGGCACAAGCGTCGTGGTGATGTCACCGCCACTTAGTGGCGAATGGCGGTTGTTGTTGGTGGGCGAGTGGAGGAGTTTGTCTGCGGCGGCGGTGGTGAGCGCAGGGGGGTACAGAAGAACCACCTGGAGGACGCGGCCCAGGGGGACGAGGTCCCCTGCTGGTTCGTGCACAACAATGGCCACGGACTCATCGACGGGCGCCTCTCCGACTACCTCCTCCCCGAGCTGTTCAGCCGCCCGTGAGAGAGAGGAGGAGGGAGGAGGAGGAGTGGGGGGGGGGGGGTAAAGACGGGGAGGTGGAGGGGGCCTACAGACACCCCCTAATGAGTCTTAATGAGTTGTGTTTGTGATGTAGCCGCCCTCATGCACACCGCGTGGGGTATCTCTGCGTGCTAAGGGGTTACCCCCAGTGGCAGCTGCTCCTGTGCGGCACAAGGAGCAGCTGCCATGGTGGGGTGCCACGGTGGCGAGCTGTTGACTACCTCGCCTGATATACAGGAGGTCGTGGGTTCGATCCCTACCCTGACGCCTGCTGTCTATTTAGTGGTCGCGTGGATTTTTCTGCGGGTCCTCCGGTTTTTCTCTCCACATTTAGGATCAACGTCGCGTGTTTAGAGTATTTGGCTCTTGCTGTAAATGTCCACGTGACGATGATGATCATGAGCCGCCGCTTCTTTGAGCTGTCATTTGTGATGGCCAGGTAGCTCAATGGGGCCTTACCTGGTAAAATTAATTAAAAAGATAAGTTTAGTTTAGACAGGCATCGTTTTGCTGGCAGTGGGGGGTAGCAGAGGTGATGATTGGCGCTGCGCGTGATCCCGATCGAGTAATTTTGAGTCATCCCCGAATTTGGCAAAAAGCCGGAACATGCGGGTGGTCACCAGCGCGGACCAAAGCTCGCTGCCGCTCGGAACAACGTCACACGGGGGGGGGGGGGGGGGGGGGGGTCTTTAATGTCCACTGCGAGCGAAGCGGGCGGCAATTGGCAGCATCGTCACGGCTAGAGGCGCGGTCCGCGCTGTTAACCGGGGCGGCCCCCTGGCATCCGAAACCCGCGAACCCCAATCGAGCCGCACAGGGGATCGGGGGGGTCGCGTTGCAGCGACGACGTTGTCCAGCGGAACCGGGAAACGGGGCGGAAGGCGGAGCGCGGTAGCAGGAGGCGACGTGTGATTGTCATATGTTCTGGCACACGGGCCCTCCGCGCCGGTGGTTTTATAACGGGAAGGAATAAGTCGCGCGACGCCACAAGATGACCACTGTGAATCGTTGATAGGACACGTTAAGTCAATCTTCTGTGGAATAAACTATCGGTCGGCTGACCCCTATACAACACGCAGTCTCACTGTGTCTGTGCGCATGTGTCTTGTATGGATGTGTCTGTGCGGGTGTGTCTGTGCGGGTGTGTCTGTGCGGGTGTGTCTGTGCGGGTGTGTCTGTGCGGGTGTGTCTGTGTGGATGTGTTTGTGCGCGTGTGTCTGTGTTGGTGTGTCTGTGCAGGTGTGTCTGTGAGTCTGTGCGGGTGTGTTTGTGCAGGTGTGTCTGTGAGTTTGTGTGGGTGTGTTTGTGTCGGTGTGTCTGTGCGGGTGTGTCTGTGCAGGTGTGTCTGTGAGTCTGTGCGGGTGTGTCTGTGCGGGTGTGTCTGTGAGTCTGTGCGGGTGTGCCTGTGCGGTTGTGTCTGTGATTCTGTGCGGGTGTGCCTGTGCGGTTGTGTCTGTGATTCTGTGCGGGTGTGCCTGTGCGGTTGTGTCTGTGATTCTGTGCGGGTGTGTCTGTGCGGGTGTGTCTGTGAGTCTGTGCGGGTGTGTCTGTGCAGGTGTGTCTGTGAGTCTCTGTGGGTGTGTCTGTGAGTCTGTGCGGGTGTGTCTGTGCGGGTGTGTCTGTGCGGGTGTGTCTGTGCGGGTGTGTCTGTGCGGGTGTGTCTGTGCGGGTGTGTCTGTGCGGGTGAGTCTGTGCAGATGTGTCTGTGCAGATGTGTCTGTGTGGGTGTGTCTGTGCGGGTGTGTCTGTGCAGGTGTGTCTGTGTGTCTGTGTGGGTGTGTCTGTGTGGGTGTGCGTAGCGGTTAGCGCACTGCACCACGAACCCGGCCGGCCGAGTTCGATTCCCTGCTCACGACCAACACCGGTGACGATGATCAGAACCGGTCCCGGGCCTCCCTTCGGTCGACTCGGTCTCAAACGAGTACCTGGTGCCACTGGGGAAACAAAGGCGGCCGGGCGTGGTGCTGGCCACCGACCCGCTCGTGTGCCCTGCCGGCCTTCATAGGTGGTGCTCGCTAACAGCACTTGCCGCAACAGCCTGTGAAGGCTACACGGGGGATATTGTGTTGTGCGTCCTCCACCACCACACGGCCTCACGACGAGCCGAATGCGGGCAGCGGTGTCCGCCGCGGACCCCACCCAGCGGCCATCAGCATCGTCGGCAGGTGTTGGTCATGAGCTCCACACCTCGATGTCTGATGATGACGACGCTGCCGCAAGTGGTCTGCTCTGAAACGTCAGACATCGCTGCCGTATTCTGTTCGATCTATCTGCAAGGTAACCAGTTCATTACTGTGACCCCGTTACTGCGACCCCGTTACTGCGACCCCGTTACTGCGACCCCGTTAATGTGACCCCCTTACTGTGACCCCGTTACCCTGACCCCGTTACTGTGACCCCGTTACTGTGACCCCGTCGCGCTCAGTCGACCCCAGGGTTCAACGGTCATGGAGATGGAGGTATAGAAGGGGGGGGGGGGGTTGGAGGGGCCAACTGTCCCAACTACACAAGTAATTGGGGCCATCTGAGACGAAGGGGGGGGGGGTGAAAGTTTAAATGGGGGGGGGTGGGGGGGTGACGAGGGAGGGGAAGAAGATCCAACCCCTAATGAGGGATGTTTAGGATATCGAGCAGAGTAACGGAAGGATGGGGGGGGGAGAGATCCCAAAAACAGAGCGTGGCCGTGCGACGTCTGAGCGTTGGCGCCGTCCCTTCGCCATTGCCACCGAAGGCGGGAAACCCCCGCCTGTCTCCGGCATGAATCGGCAGCGCACAGCCAAACGCTCTCGCGCAGAGAGGGGGGCGGGGTGGTGGGCAGAGAGGGGGGCGACTCGGAGGCGCCGGGATGAGAACCCACAGATGAAGAGTGTAAATGGAACAGCTGCAGCGGTCACGCAGTCAGGGAGCCGGCGCCAATTTCCAAGCCACCAAGCTCTGGAGTCCTCTACATATGAGGCGTTTTGGCTGGCCATTGAACAAGGACAGTGGTCACTGCATGACGCGCTTTCGGATGCGCTCCTGCGGCTGTCTGGAACGCTCTTGTTTGCGATATTAGGAAGCCAATGGAGCTATGATGTACTTTTAAATCATCATCTAGATTTAAAACTCATTTATTTAAAGCTGCTGTTTGTGTGTTTGGTTTGATGTCCTTCCCCCGCACCTCGCTTAGCGCGGTTGGCTACATACAGTGTGAAAGAAATTCAAAATACACACACAAGATGTTACCGGCCAATGAATGAGCCTTTACGCGTGCGAGGAAAACGGAGCAACCAGAGAAAACCCACGCGTGTGAGGGAGCAACGCTCTATACTGCACGGATAGAATATACGGAGTCCAAACTTTGCAGTACCCACCTCGACTTATGGGTCTCTGTGTGAGCCTATGATTCTTTGTGAGTGTCTATGGGTCTCTGTGTGAGTGTCTATGGGTCTCTTTGTGAGTCTATAGTGACCGGGCAAACACTGTCTCTGAATTGGCTCCCACTTTCAGTGTCTCATCAGCAGGGTCAGGCTGGTAGGAGCAAAGCGGCGATCGTCAACGTTGCTCCAACGCACGGCGCCCGTGAACTCGCGTCCACAGCTCAAGAAGCACCCCCCTCTACCCCACCCCCCCCTCTCCCCCAGCACCCCCCTCTACCCCACCCCCCCCCCTCTACCCCAGCACCCCCCTCTACCCCACCCCCCCCCTCTCCCCCAGCACCCCCTTCTACCCCACCCCCCCCTCTCCCCCAGCACCCCCCTCTACCCCACCCCCCCTCTCCCCCAGCACCCCCCTCTACCCCACCCCCCCCTCTCCCCCAGCACCCCCCTCTACCCCCCCCCCTCTCCCCCAGCACCCCCCTCTACCCCACCCCCCCCTCTACCCCAGCACCCCCCTCTACCCCACCCCCCCTCTCCCCCAGCACCCCCCTCTACCCCACCCCCCCCTCTCCCCCAGCACCCCCCTCTACCCCACCCCCCCTCTCCCCCAGCACCCCCCTCTACCCCACCCCCCCTCTCCCCCAGCACCCCCCTCTACCCCACCCCCCCCTCTCCCCCAGCACCCCCCTCTACCCCACCCCCCCCTCTACCCCACCCCCTCTCCCTCAGCACCCCCTCCCCAGGGTCAGCACCAGCAGGTTCATCTATGCGAGCAAACACAGAGAGTCGGGGGTAGTGCGAGGCTGCCAGGGCACGTGGGTGAGTGAGGGACGCCGGGGTGGCTAGGAGATGTTATCTGCCTCGCCGGGCATGCAGGAGGCCGTGGGTTCGATCCCGACCCTAATGCCAGGGATGGTGGCTTGGATTTTTCTCCGAGTCCTGTGGTTTTTCCCTGGCTGCTGTAAATTTCAAAATGATGATATGCCACTTCGTTGAGTTTAACACGTAGGTTTTCGCGACTAATATCATCCATAATACAGGTTTTTGGGTTAGATCGTGTAAATATATACATGTGTCGTTAAAACCCACCACCACCCGACACAGCCAACTAGTAAGAGTTGTCACCTAAACAGAACGTGGCCAATTCGTCACTAGTACAGCACACCGGTGTGTTGGAGAGCCAAGCCACAACATTTACAACCTGAGTACGACGTTTCGCCAGTAATTACAACTAGCTTCATCAGGCGACAGCCAGATTTGTGGAGAAGTCTTACTGTTTCGTTCCTCATATAGAGGCATAGATGTGGTGACCACGCTTCTGCGCTCTTGCACAATGTGGTGGGGGGGGGGGAGTTATTGAGTCAACGTACATGATGCATTATGCGCGCCCTTTGAACTTGTCCTTCCCGTCTATTGCTTATTAAAATAGCCCTACCAACGTTAATCGCTATTGAAGTACGCTGCCCTTTGTAGGCATGCATTTAAATAATGTATTATTTGATGATTCGCTTCCACGCAGCACTAAGACGGTAGCTATCCGAACGGTTAAAGCTATTTTGATTTCTTTAAATTTCGATAGATTCTATAATTAGTCTTGGCCAGTAGTAGCTAGTTTTGCACAGAACTTCAACATTATAAAAATCAATTGAGTGTCCTTG